ACCTCAGCCTTGAGCCTCTCCAGCCTCCCCAGAGCAGCAGCCAAGACCCTGGAAGTGGCCTGGACCCCCTCTGCGCCCATCCCCAGGTTAGGGGACCCCCCTGACTGCTTAGCTCGGAGGTTTGTCCATCTCCCCCCAGCTCCAGGGGCTCCGTGCGAGCCTGGGCAGCTGCTCTGTGCTGGGGGCTCATCCCCCCACGGCCTTTTGCAGCCTGTCCACAGGAAGCCAAAGACCCTATTAACACTTCGGCTGACTCTGGCACACACGACAGCGTTTTAGAGGGGAGAGAGTGCGGATCCGACTTGAGAAAAAGACTAATTATCTATCAGTTACCAGCTGGCCGGCGTGGTGAGGGGCTGCTGGTGAGAAAGCAGCCGAGCTCGGCTCACGGCTCTAGCATGTCCGGGCAGCTCTGGGGAACCGAGAGGCCGGATAGCTTCCAACAAGCAGGCAGGCTGCCGGCATGCCTTGTCTTGCAGAGCCACAGTTCCCCATCCTCCTCCCAGCCCCACCGAAGCAGCTACCAGAGGGGGGCTTCAAACCTACAGGGATAACCTCATTTTCAGCATCTGGCCATTGCTCTCTGCTGATAAGAAGGCCATTAAAAATGAAAAGGGAGGCAGTGGGGGCACGGAGGGCTTTGCGCAGCACAGACCGGCGCGGCCGCTTCAGTCCAGGGTTTGCGGCAGCGTGCGGTGCTCAGAGCAGCCCGGGAGTCGGGACGTCCAACAGCACCCACCGTGATGGCAGCTCTCTGCAAGGACAGGCTTGGTGCCGGTAACGCAAGCCCCAAACCCACGTCCCAAATCTCTGCCCCTTCCCCATTCACCCATTTCCTAAATTTAGAAATTCAGCACTAGAGAGAACAGGCGATGATCCCCTGGCTGGGTTCCCGACACTGCTGCCCCAAGACCCCTGCCCACTCGTTCTGCGTTGAGCCAACAACGTCTGCTTGAAGTGCGGCTTATCTGTCGAGAGATATGCAGACTCCTCATTTGAATACTTCAGGAGCTGGAGAATCCACCGCATTCCTTGGTAAATTGTTCCTACGGTTAATTATCCTCACTGTTAAAAAATTTCCACCTTGTTTCTAGTCTGAATTTGCCTGGTTTCAGCTTCCAAGCTTTGGATCTCATTATGCCTTGTTCTATTAGATTAAAGAGCTGCCTGCTATCAGAAACCATCTCCGGCGCAGACGGCGATCAGCCACCCCTACTCTTCCCGTGGAGACCTCTCTCATGGAGTACATTGCTCTGGTATCACCCTGCAAGGCATCTGTTCCAAATCTTCCATCTCCTTTGCATCTCCCTCCCAAACCCCGTCTGCTTGGCCAGCAGAGGGTTCAAAGTGTGGACAAAGTGGGCTCAGCAAAGCCCTGCTCCCCCCACCCCAAGTGATGCTCCCCGGCCCAGCTCCTGCAGAGCAAGCCACCCTGCAGACAGCTCAGCTCCAAACAGTCTTTGGCCAGGAGCCCTGGGCCTCCTTTCCTAAGCGCGGGAGAATGAGTAACACCAAATCTCCCAGAGGAACAGCCAGAGGGATTCAGTCAAAACCCTTCAAAACCAGGAATCTGTTGGGCTACGCACTCCCAGCAACCAAACCTCATGATCGTATCAAGGCATTTGACGGGACGGCTCACATCGAACTGTTTGGTTTGGCATTGCCTGCGCACCAGCTGTCAGTTCCTCCTTGGCTGGATTCTCCGTAATCCGACCACGGACGACAGGAGACCTTCGGAGCTGCTGGTCCAGCAGAGCCTTCCTCTGGGGCGGAGAGCTCCCCGCTGCTCCGAAACGCTGCCCGGCAAGCTGCAGCCGAACCTGTGGTCAACGCCTGCCCTGGTGTAAAGAGTTTGGTGCAGCTGAAGGATTCAGACAGCGTGGGGCTTCCCCGGCTACGGATGGGACAGGCAGTGGTGTTGCTGTCAGGGGGATGAATCAAACCGTGCGTGTCCTTTGTGCACCGGGATGGTTAACGCAGCCACCCTGGGCTGGACTGTCACCGAGCTGTCAGATGTCACTGTCCCCAGCCCCATGTTTGGCTTTCCTTCCCAAATTCCTGCATTTCCTAACAGCTATCCTAGCCCTGTACGCTGCTACAGATGCAGTCACAGTCTATGTATAGAACCACACCACGGTCAGACCCATCATTTGTATACTGTGCTACATAACGTATGTTTTTTAGCTGAATCCCTTCCCCTGTTTAACCAGGACGGACTCTCAAGCACAGCAGCAGCAACGCAGAGCTCAAGGCGGGCGAGGGGGAGGCAGCAGCCCCATCTCCCAGCACAAGAACTGCAGCTGTGTGGCTGTGACAGCCAGGAGGAGACGGAATCGGGCTGTCACCGCAGCAGGACAGCAATTCGCGTGGCCACCTCGGCGAGCCCGCGCCCGCGTCGGTGGCCCTGCAGCCGTTACTATTGCGAGCGCAACATGCTCCGCGCTCTCCAGGGTGCAAGATGCTGCTGACCTGCTTCTGTTCTCCACGAGCTGGGCTTCAGCACGGTGAGATCTGGGTTGGTGGGCTCTAGTCCTGCAGCCAGCCTGCTTTCGGCGCACGCACAATGCCCCCAGCAGCGCGGTTCGGAGATCCGCACTTCTCACCGACTGCCCTGCCAAGGATTAAAGCCAGTCCGGGCGTTTAACTCCTCCGCTCCGGATTACTTCCCAAGAGGCCCCCCCCTTGCAGCTGCATGCTCGGCAGCCTCAGCTCCCAGCCCTGGGAGCATTCTCCACAGGGGCTTACGGCTGCCCGTGGCACGTTCGCTGGGTCCAGGAGGGCTCTGGCAGCATCAATGCAGCACTGCCTGCTCCGATGTACAGGGAGACCTTAATGCAATGAGAAGGAAAGAAATCCCGTCCTGATCAACACAGGTCCCAGCAGGACACGGCAGCTACAGGGGCACGGTCAGGATGGGGCGATGCTGAGGCAGTCGGGCTCTGTTTGGTTAGATCTGTGGGGAGATGCGAGGCGGCTGGGGGGCTGCAGCAAGGGAAGAGGGCTGTCATGGGCTCCCTCGCCACATGGGGCTGCCCCCGAGAGCGTCTCCCTGCTCCCTCTGCTATTTGGGGGACAACAGGCCAAAAGGACCTTAGTGGTGTTTTTTAGTTACTGCAACATGCACCTTCTGGGACAAGGGAAGGTGTTTCCTTACTGCTAAAGTGAGCACGGAGAGTGACTTCAGGAGGTGCTTTCTCCACCTTTCGATATGCACGTCCTGTCCGACTGTGCACCCTGTCCAAAGCTGTGTCTGCTGCACCCCAAAACCATCGCCAGGCACCGCAAGCTGTGGACAGTGGCAAGTGAGCATCAGTCACCTCCAGGTCCTCCTCCTCCTGTGCCGGGAGAGCAGGAACAAGACCCCCTGCATCACTGGAGTTCGCTTTCCTCTCGGATGCTCCTGTGGTGCGGGAATGCCTCTACCTAATTACTTTTAACTGGTGCAAGTTACCCCCCGATAGGGATAGGAGTGGGCTGGGGTCACATCCTACCTGAGGACCCTTCGTTTATTCAAACCCTAATGAAATGCAGCCTTCAGCAACCCCTTTCAAGGCAGGGCAGTGGAAAGAGCAAACACTTCACCACTCCTACGAGGGCAAGTCGTATTTAATCACGGGGCCGGTCCCAAGCCCCTGGTCAGCGCGACGCAGCCGCGAAGCCGTGAAGCTCCGGTGACGGGACACGGGGAGACTGCTCTGCTGCCCCACAGCCATGTATTTGGCTGTGCTGGAACACCAGCTCACTGCCAGCTTGCCGCTGCTTTGCCAACTCCATCCGGACGTTGGTTTTTGTGGGAGACAGACCCGGCGCTGCGCCTGCTGCCGTAGCCTGTCCCATCCCACCGTGCCATGCCAGCAGCGAGCGGAGCAGCACCCACTGCCCACGGCCTGGGGTCTGCCTGCACAAAAGCATCTGAGGACGCATTCTCTCTACCGTGGAAAGGACGGTCTTGGCAATTAAACACATCAGCTTCCAAAAATAAAACTCATTATCACGCCTGGGGCGGAGAAATCGCTCCTGGTCTGCTCTGCCTGTTCTGTGATAATGCCACACCGCTGTCCCGGAGGAAACCCCGCTGCTCCCTCCTTGCATCGGTTGTCTTATCCCAGCCTTTCTGCTCCGATAATATTTCCCGGAGGAAAAACCTGGCTGCCCCAAGCATGCCGGCGAGTGGCTTTCCCAGGGGCTCAGGAGGTGGCCGTCACAACAACACCTCCAGCACCGGCCGCATGTGCCCTTTTCTCTTAAAAACAGGGACGGTGCTGCACAGAGACAGGATCCAGGGTCTGAATTTAGGACTTTTTTCTACAAAAAGCAAAGCAGCCGGCATGCACTCTGCCCAGTTCCCACGTCCCTGATGTGCAGAGGACTCTGCCGGGCTGGTCAGACTGGCAACGGACCAAACCTGCATCCCAAGGACCAGGCTGCCGTGCACACATCCCGCCCGGCATGATGCCGTCCTGCAATCCTTCTGCTGTTAAAAGCTGACCCTGTTCATTTGCTGGGAGTCCTGGAGCTTAAGTCCCTCTTCTGATACGAGATGGGAAAGGATTGTAAGTGACAAGCGAGGATTTACAGCAACGGTGGGAAGGGTCCCAGCAGATGCGAGCTGAGGTTGGCTCGCCTCTGACAGCGGTTGCTGCACAGGGAACCCCCGTGGGAACAAGGCAGGTACTTCCTGGGGATGTTTCTCCAGCTTTGCCATTTTTGGGGACATTTACCTACAGTTTAGGGAATTGCCATGCAGGGAGTAACACTCGAACCGCTGCGCTTCGCAACATTTTGGGAGAAAATCCCTTATAAGCAAGCACTGACATTTTTTGGCACATTTTGCATTCCAGGGGCACCTGCGCAGGCGACCTCCCCTTCGGGTGGCCAGCCGCCCCCGTGGGAGCGTGCCCCCCGCATCCCACTGCCAAGCACCGCCGAGACATCCGTGGCCGGTGGGCCGACAGCACCGTCCGCGGCGGCAAGCGAAGGCGAGAAGACACGCGACTTACTGTCCAGGTGGCCGACTTGGCGGTGCTGGATTGCTGGAAGGTCACCTCGAAGTGGTGGGGACCGGGGTAGTCGGGGTTGGAAGGGATGACGGGAGCTGGGGACATGGCGTCGAAGGTAGAGCTGGGCTGCGAGTAGGGCGAGTGCGTTGGGACATTGGAGGTGTGCTCGGAGCTGTAGGGTCTGGTGGAGTCTTTTCTACTGCCGATGCTCTGATCCATGCTGTTGTTGAGCAAATTGAACTGGGACTGGAGGAAGGGAAAAGGGGAGGAGGGAAAAAAGAAAACACCAGCCAGTTTAGAGACATGGAAAGCTCAGCCACACTTCTCCAGGGCTCCAGGTGTCCTGTTACAGCCTCCTTAAAGGGCCAGCGTGCGGGAAAGGCAGCCAAAAGAGCCCATCTGGGTCGCTTGGCTTTTTGAACAGGTCACCACTTGTGTAAGGGGTAAACCCACCACCCTTCAGTCACCCCCTTCTACCATCTCCGTCCTCACCGGAGGCAGCGAGCTGCCGAGATCCATGGATTTCCAGCACATCTGGCTATGCGAAGCCGCTCTTTTGCGGGCAGGGGACTGGGCAGGGATTTGGGGGGGTTTGCTCGGGTACAGGAGATGTCCCATTGCGGGATGGGGAGCGACGACTGGCCGCTGGAAAGCCGCTGGAAAGCCGGCCCTTTGACAAAGGCACAGCTCCCATCCCAACGGCTCAACATCCAACCTGCTTTTCAGCCCTCTCCCGCACGCACCCACTCGTCGCCAGCATCCACAGGCACAGGATGTGTTTCCCTAAGGAGAGCCAGCCCCGAATGGTGGTTTGTGGGATTCATTTCCAAGCTGAGATATTTGCTTCCAGTGGCTTTCTCTGGTACAGGACTAATTTGGGGAAAACCTCAAACCTACAAGGCGCGTCGCTGGGATGCAACACGCTGCTGCGAGGTCAGGGAGAGAACGTACCTATTTATGCCTGTCCCAGCTCTTGTTCCAGCCATGCTGGACCAAATCCTGACTTTTTACAGTGTTTTTTTTCTTATTCCTCTTCTGCACAATTACTATCAGATACTTCCAGTAAGAGCTGGCAGCTCTTTTATCTGCAGGCATAGCCTAAGCAAAGCCACGTTCTCAAAAGCCACATGGCTAAAGCGGCCTTAGCCTTACATCCAAAAATCAGACCAAAAAAAGTAATTTTTTCTATAGAAGAGAAATAAACTAATATTAAAGAAAAAAAACACAAATGTAACCATTTCTCAGAGGAGGAGGGATGGCTTTTTCCCCAGAAATCTGCATTTCCAGGATGGCTCAAGGGTTGTTTTTCTGCTATTTACAAGCCAGCCGTTGCTGGCAGTCCCAGAGGTGGGTGCTGCCAGTCCCCACAGCTGTTGCATCGCCACTTGTCACCCCGATGCCCCGCAGCACCCCGCATCAGAGGAGGAATGGACTGCCTGCCTGTGCTCCCTACTTCACCCAGCTCCAGCCCCAATCCACAGGGCCCTCCCTTGGGGCAGCTGTGGGGAAGTGAGAGCTCCTGAGCTCCTGGAAGGCGGCCGTGACAGTCCCTCAGCCATCTGCCTTCTCCAAAGGGCTCACCCCTTAGGAATCAGGAGACGTGTTTTAACTTGGGATCCCAACCTCACCCAACCGTCGGCGATGTATAATGGTTTAAAGGCAATCACCCTTCTCCAGGAAAGTTCTCCTGTTGTCTGCATCTTTCACAAGGTCGTTGGAGCCTGTGACTAACTTGAGGAATGCTTAACAAGATCTGGCTTGCTTTTACACATACAGCCAATTTCTCCCCTAAAATATGTGAGTAAACCCCTCTATTCCTTCTTGCCGCTCCATAAATAGCCCAGCCAAAGACAAACCGCCCCCATCCAAACCTTCCACAATCCCAGGCTTCACCTGGAGAAAAAAAGTGATGAGAGACTGACAAAATGGGCATTAAAAATGAGCATGGAAACCCTTTTCATCCAGCCGGGAACCTGCCTGGCTGCAGGCAGCTGCTGGCAGGGACCGGGGTCCCAGGGGGCCTGGGTGGCACTGGCTGGAAGGTGTGCAGCACAGGGCACCCTGGAAAAGCAAAGCGCAGGCATGGGATGGGAGCAGCAAGGAGAAAAGGGATTGCTGCTCCTTGGGACTGATCCATGGAGAAGAGCATCCTGACCTCCGCAGGGGAAAAAGCCTTCCCGTGGGGAAAGCAACAGCACACGAAGGAGACATGAGACCCGGGGTGTCACCTCTGCAAGCTGGGCTGGCTGCTCCGAGCGGGGACCCCCAGCCAGCACAAAGCAGCAGGCACTGCCCTGGCTCCTGGGGCTTTGGGAATCCGCTGGCAGAGATGCCCACAGTCAGGAGCAGGGGGAAAGCGACCACCTTGTCCTTGAAAATTGACTAGATTTTGGAAACATTCCCAAAAGAAACAAATCGAGGGCATGAATGTTTGTGTGTGTGCGTTAACAAACCCACCACAGCTCCTTTGTGTGTAAGTCTGTAAATATACACACACACGGATGTTTATCCACACACAGAGATAAATATTCCCATGACTGCAGCAACGACCTCCCAACTATCGGCACGACAGTACAAAACAGACCCGGTACATCTCGGCTTTATACCCATAAGACACAAAAGAGGAATGAAGTGACGTCTGTTTGGGGAGCGCAGCACCGCTCCTTTCTATCTCTCACAGCATCTATGCCTGATTTGAACTTTCGGGAATGCCGGAGAGAAGACACAACCCCTTTTTGACTAAGAAAGCAACCTCAGTGCATCAGGACAGGGCTGAAAACGTGTCGCCTGCAAGCGCAGGTGCTGTTCTATCTGCTCTGCCCTCCCCGAGGGTTTAAAGTCAGGAAGGAAAGCCTTCCTGGGGGGCATGCTGCCAGCCCAGCTGAGGATTTCCTGGCAGGAGACAAACTGGTGCTGGTGGTGCCCGGCACCGCAGGGGGATCTCTGGATGGATGCTACAGTTAGCACCCCTCCCGTCTGCACATACGGGGGCGAGGAAGCTGCACCCCTTGACACCAAAGGTTTAAATGGCTCCTTGGGCTCTGCCAGCACCGGATCAGGCAAAACAAGAGGGATGCTGACCGAGCCACCACGGCTGCGGCATCCCATGCTGGCACTCCGGGGCCAGAGCAGCCACAGGTCCTCCGTGAGGCCATGGGACAGGGGAAGGCTCACACTGCTCCAGACCCCTGGCACATCCTGGGCAGTGGCAGGCAGGGGTGCTCCGCAGGCAGAGCCAGAGCCTGTGCCCAGCTCCTGCCTTGGTGGCGGAGGGGGATTTCAAAGAAATAGCAGGAAGGAGAAACCCGTAAGTAACAAGTAGCACCTACCGTGGTATAATGCTGCATCGGGTCGCTAATGTACAGCATTTTAGTCGTCTCGGGATTCACGGAGCACTGGGAAGCGTCCTGCCACGGGAGTCATGGGGTCAGGGCGATGGTGGGGATGGCTGGGGTAGGAAGGCAGGTGAACGAGGGAGCGGGTCCGGGACGGGCAGCATCAGGGATGCTGCCACTCGTGTGCCGCGTGTGTTGGCTTTTTGGCTTTTTTCATCTCCCTTAGTTCTGTCAACTAGCCGCATCCAACAACAAAACGGGACCCACCCCTTTCTGTCCCTCATGACTATTCATTAAAGCGCAGGGCAGGCCCCAGCTTGCCCAGTGATGGACCAGGCGATACCAACCATTCCCACTGCAGGGAGAGCGGGGGTCCAGCTCCATCGTCAAACCTGGCCGGATTCCACTCCAGAAAGCTGCTGGCAGCTGCACTGGGCTGGAAACCCATTTGGCCGTCACCCTTTGCCGGCAAACCGAGCTGGCTGCCCTTGCATCCCCGGGGTGATGAGGTGACTCTGAGATAGCTCCGTATCACAGAGATCTGGAGTTATCCCTATCTAGACAGACAGATACAGATAGATGTGGATAGATACGGATAGATGTGGATGGATGGATGGATGGATGGATGGATGGATGGAT